CCAAATGCAGACTGTGGAGTTTACTATACTGCACGTCTGCTTCAATTTTACTTAACGGTGAAGAAAAAGAAGAAGAAGAAGTCTTTTTTCAGCAAACCTGTATGCAGTCCATTGCGTAGTCGAAGAGGGACGTTCGGCATGTGTCGAATTTTGAAGGTGCCGCAGCCACTGAGCAAATCCAAGGACATCATGGCTATTTATCCGGCGTGACGACTACCATTTCGTATGGGCAGACCCGAGGCCACCATGTAGGCGTCTCCAATGGTCTCCACCTGAAATAAATACTTGTCATATTCAGTGGCATATAGTATTATGTTAGATGGTAACGCTTTGGTGCTGAGGCCGCTTATTTGCACTCATGCAATGCTTGTTTGAAGAAAATGACTACTTTCTAATTATTACCAAGAGTAATAATAGTAGGCACGTAAGGACCTAGTATGTGATATTCCCCAGACATTCATTAACTCAGACAAAAAAATTGGTGTACCTCAATCTGGAAAAATCTGGAAGGAGACAAATTCACAAATTACTGGTCTCTGATGGAACCGCTGAATGTGGCCTTCCTAGCTGTTAAACTATCATAGGAGCCGAATAATATTTTAAGTTCAGACGTTACCAGAAGTCATGCTTTTAGCGATTACTTACTTTGTAGACGTCGTAGTTATCAATGGTTGCGTCAAACATTGTGTAGAGGTCATTCAGCAAACCAACCACTTGCAGTGGGGTTGAGAGAGCTGAGATGGTCGTGAATCTGACAATGTCGCTAAAGTAGATGGACACCTCGTCGAAGGTTTCGGGTGCAACCGACTTTCCAGACTTTAGTGATTCAGCCACCACACTGGAAGGTTAGGAAAGGAAAGGCAATTCAGTAATTATTATATGCACTTCGATAACGCAGTCCTTTTAGGCATTGGATGGTCACAGTTTTTAATTCAGCTCTCCTCTAAATTGAAGAGGGCGTCGTATACAATAAAAATAACTTTAATAAATGCCTGCTCCCTATAGGTCATAATCGCTGTCTTTAAAGTGAGAACTGATGCTAAACTATATTCCTCCTGTCTGAAATGACTTCGTCGTCAGACGAGTCGCTCCAGTCGGAGACTGTGAAGTCTTTCTACATGCAACCAACTCGGTCTTTCAGACAAATTCTTTACGATGCTTCGAGACAGTCTAAGTCGAAATCGTACATGGTCTCCGGGTTCAGAGTTGGGCTCACCAACTTGCAGCATCTAGGGCTAAAACGTCAGGTAAACTGACTGACGTTTCAGTGTAGCCCCCGAATCCGTCATCCTTGTTGAAAACTACTACTTGTATTGTGTTAGCACCTACTAAAAACCGTTTCTGCCTTTCCACTTCGTTAGTGGCCGGTTCCTCATCAACGACAAAGTATTAACGTTCCACCAGGCGTCGTCAACATATTTTTTAACACTTAAAATAGGCTCCTTTTACAATTTTGGGCGCTGTGTAGCGCCAGTCAGTGCACAATACATAGCAAGTGTTACTGTAGATATTTATGACGGTTAAACTATAGTGTACACAGCGTTATGAAACTCCTAGTTCCTGCCGTTCACTTTCGAAATTTGCAACATCTAGTAAATCCAGGTGTCGCTTTGACCGCAAATATATGAACGCAAAACAATTGTACCGCGTTCGGAGTCATGAATCCACACTAATTTTCTGCAGTATTTAACAATTATGCACGCATTCGGGGCTAGTGCATAATGCTAACAGCGCTCCAAAACGTTCTACATAAAGACGCCAACCTGAATCGTCCGGCGGTGTGTCTGTCCACAGGTAATCACAAAGTTTTGGACGTAGCAGTGAAAATAAAAACATGAAGAAGTGGAACTTGGTGGAACCAGGTGGAAATGCCTAGATCTGCTAACGATCAGTCGCTTTTATGCAATAATTTTACGATGCCATCCTGATTACCACAAACAAAAGGCTTTCTGATTGTGTTCAAAGTTGTTTTTTACCCTCTACTGCTTACAGTGGAAGAAGTCGAGCTATGAGATATTCCTTTTTGCGTTTCTCTGACTCCAGCTCTGCGGTACGTGCACTGACTTGTTCCTCCAGGTCTGTCGAGTACTTTTCCATCATTCTAAACATGTGGTCGACAATGTT